GGCGGCCAACGGACGGCGGACGACGGTCGGACGGCGGACGGATGACGGATGATGGGACGACCGGCGGACGGCGGACGAGGAGGAGAAGGAGGAGGAGGAGGAGGAGGAGGAGAAGGAAGACGGCGGACGAGGAGGAGGAGGAGGAAGATGAGAAGGAGGAGGAGGGCGGACGAGGCTTCCTCCGTCGCTCCTCCCCTCCTCCCCTTGTCTGTCTGTACGTTTTCCCAATTTTTACCTATTGCTGATACCCGCTGGTGACCCCTGGAGCGGTGCTCCAGGGGTCGGCCACCTGACGTTAGTTTGATTAACCCCACCAATGCCGACCGGCCTAGGGGGGGCAGGGCGACGTCGGTACGACTCTTTCGCCATCAGCGCATCAGCATATCAAGAGGAGGGCGGACGATGGGCGACGACAACGTGCCCGTACATGCGTGGTCGAGTCGGCGGCGGACGGACGGCGGTGGCGGCGGACGGCAGACACATACCCTCGACGTCGCGATTTTGTCGACGACGTCGCGATTTTGTCATGTCACGACGGGCGATTCGTCCCAAGTAGTTGTTTGACGGCCCCGAGGCCCGGCAATGGTCCCCGGATGCCAAGCGTAGCAAAGCAGATCCGCTCGTCGTGATTCTTGCCACGACGCGAGGGAGCCCGGGGCACGGCGGACGGACGGCGGACAGGTCTAGCGAACGCCGCGGGCGGTGGTGGCGGCCCCGCGCGGCGCGAGCGCACGCGCGCGCTGCATGCGAGGTGGGCAACGCCAGGGCTGCGGAGATGTACGAGGCCTGCCTGCCCCGCGGCTGGTCGAGGCCGCGCGCGCAGGAGCGCGGCGGGGGGGGGCGGGGCCGCGGGGTGGGGCGAGGGCCGCTCGGGGGAGGGGATCGATAACCGAGAAGGCGGAGGAGTAGGTGGAGGAGGGGGCTTACCCTCGCTCCTCCTGATCATCCTCCTCCTCATCCTCCTCCTGCTCCTCCTCCTGCTCCTCCTCCGCATCCTCCGCCTCCTCCTCCTCTTCCTCCTCTTCCTCCTCCACTTCCTCCTCTTCCTCCTCCTCCTTCTCCTCCTCCTCCTCCTCCTCCTCCTCCTTCTCCTCCCTGTTTGGGCTCAGCTCTCGGGAGGAGGCTGAGTCTCTCGGGGCTCATGCGCGTGAGGGCGGTCGGCAGGTTGTGCCGCCCCCCGAAGACCGTGTCCCCTAAGTCGCTTTGATCAGTTCCCATGCATGCAAATGTGGTGGCACCTGTCCAGCCGTTGCCGAGTTCATCCCCCTCCTGACTGCCGGCGTCATCCGCGCCGCCCCTCTCCTTCTCTCCCCGCGCGACGCCCCAAGCCGATGGGCGCCAATGGGGGGGCGGGGTCGGGGCCGCGGAGGGGGCGGGCGAGAATCGCGCCGTGAAAAACATGACGGCTCATTTTCTGATATGTTCTGCCTCCTGAGGCCCCCAGCGGGCCTCGGGACCGACCAAAAGTTGGTCTCGATGAAAGGCCGGTCCCCGAGAAATGGTTCAAACCCTTGGGGGTCCACTACATGAGAAGACATATACGCGCGCACATGACGTCGAGGGTATGAGGAGGAGGAGGAGGAGGAGGAGAAGGAGGAGGAGGAGGAGGAGGTGAAGGAGAAAAAGGAGGAGGAGGAGGATCAGCACGATCCCGATGTGGACGGAAAAAATAGGGATGAAGACCAGCAACAGTTCCTGTCCTCATTGAGCAGGGTTCGCTGTCGGTAGCACCGCGGACATTGCCCATTTAAGACTCGAAGCCGCCCGCCCAACATCGGTCGCTGTCGGTGGGGGTTAACATCTGCTATTTGGCATCGTACCTATTATCTCCGTACCCATGTCGGGCTTGTCAACAGGAGGAGTCAGGGGCAACGTCAGGGGGGGACATTCTCGGGGGGGTGGGGGGGCGCATCGGCCCCCGATCGCCCACTGATCTCAGATAGGGACCTGATATCCCACCCCCATTTTCGCTCTCGGGGGTGAATCGCCGACCTATCGTCAATATAGCGCCGATTTCAGATCGGTTTCCCCCGCCCCCCCCCTACAAGTCCCCTCCTCTCGTTGCCGCTCAAGGAGGGAGAGTGGAGGCTCGAGGAAGGAAGAAAGAAGGAGTGGGGAGGAGGAGGAGGAGGAGGAGGAGGAGGAGGAGGAGGAGGAGGAGGAGGAGGAGGAGGAGGAGTGTGGGAGGATTGATGAGGAAGGAGGTCGGTCCTGCACAGCCTCAATGTGGTCAGCCCCGGCAGGAGAGAGGGAGGAGGTCTGGGCAGGAGGATCGAGGAGGGGGGCGGAGGAGCTGGAGGCCGAGGGAGGACAGGGAACCATGAGGAGGGACGGGGGGAGGGAGAAGGAGGATGGGAGGGAGGAAGCAGGGAGCGAGGGCGGGAGAGAGGAGGATCCGGGCGGACGGGGCGAGCATCGAGGTTGCCGCCGGAAGCCGTTTTTTTGTGCGCGCGGCGCGAGGACGTCGGGGGCGACCAGATGGACCCAGAAGCCGCGGCGGGGCTCGGGATGTGAGTTGCGTCCTGCCCTATGGCGACGGCGCCGATGACGGCGACGACGACGACGACGACGGCGGCGGCGACGACGACGGCGGCGATGGCGATGGCGCTGAGAATGAGGATGTGGATGGGAATGGTGATGGTGAGGATCATGGTTATGGTTATGAAGGTGGCAGTGGTGGTGATGGTGGTCATGAGGATGGTGGTGATAGTGATGGTGGTACTAATGGTGTTGATTAACATAGAGTGTCCATCATGACGAGTATGAGGATGATAATGATGATGTTGGTGCTGATGATGATGATGATGCTGATGCTGATGATGGTGGTTGTGATGATGATGATGCTGCTGATGATGATGATGATGACGACGGTTATGGTGATGGAGATTATGATGACGATGGCGATTACGATAACGGTGACGAGAGCAATGACCATGATGATCAGAATGGTGTTGATGATGATGGTGGTGATGATGATGATATAGATGATGATGATGATGATGATGATGATGATGATGATGATGATGATGATGATGATGATGATGCTGATGCTGATGTTGATGCTGATGCTGATGCTGATGCTGATGATGATGATGATGATGATGATGCTGATGATGACGATGATGATCCGCGTATGTGTCCCTTCTCTTTGTCGTCGTCGTCGTTTTTATACCCCTCCCTCTCCTGATGCCGTCACATGTTTGGCCGCGCGGCGTTGATAGTGGTGCATTGTCTCATTTCGAATGTCTGCGTGGGGTGCTTTCGTCTCAGGTCAATAGCTTCGCAGTGCTCGATGTGTCTCCAGTTGCCGTGATGCGTGCGTCGCTGAGGACTGGTGGGTGGCGTGTTCCGTGAAATGAGAATAATGGTGGTGGTGTTGATGAGGATGGCGTTGAAGATGATCGTGACGGTGATATTGATGCTGATATTATTGTTGGCAATACCGATCATCTCTATCACCATCACCATCATATGTCGCCGCGCAGTCTGTTCCGACGCGCGGCCTTGCGTCTTAGGGAGGGCGCCTCGGCTACCAGGGCAAACTCCGCCTCGGACACAGAGTTTGCGGTGAGTTTGCCGCGGTGGCGGCATGGGATTGAGAGTTCTGCGGCCAGCGTCCTGAAAAAAGTCTGCCTCCGGAAGTCTGGGCGTATCAGGCGGATGGCATAGTTGAGCCACATATTTGTGCACGGGGCCCTGCGTACACACTCCGTCAGAATGCCGGACAGCTTAGGCGTAAGCCTTTTCAGTCGGCGTTGGGCCAGAAAAGCATACAAGCAACCTTCGATGTGCGTGATCGCCAGTGTTCTGCTAGGGGCTCGCTGGGGAGCACCCCTCCTTCCATGTAAGCAAACTTGCCAGAATCTAGGTTGGAACACGCTCTCGGCGGACCGCAGTCCGCTGCAAGCCCGTGACCTTTCATCGGCGAGATGAAGCACAGCAACGCAGCAACTCTTCCACCTTCGAGGCTTCTCTGGACGAGTGCCGGGACCGGCTGCTCTTGTTGTTCCAAGTGTCATCTGGCTTCGAGATGCCTCTTCCTCCTGACAAACAGTCGTTGCCACGCTTGGTGGAGCGTCTTGCTGGCTCGAAGAAACGAGAGGCGGAGGAGACTCCGAGGAGAACTTGCGATGGGAGTGCCCATGGCAGGGTCAGGGTGGTGGGGGCTTGCCCTCATCATCATCCTCAAAATCCGACTGTGTCGCTAGCATCGGCGCCGTGGTGTTTCTGCACCCAGGCCCGACGACTGCATCGCTGGACGGAGGAGGAGGAGGAGGAGAAGGGCGAGGGGAGAGGGGGCGGCGTGTCTGGCTAAGCAGCCGCCGTCCCTGCACAGGAGTTTCGACTACCGGCCCGCAGGGAAGCCCTCGGAGTGCCGGCGGGGACGCCATGCCCGCGACCAGCCCCATCACCCAGGGACGGCGGCAAGCAAGCGAGCAACCTCCAGGACTCCAGAAGTGGTTACCTGCCGGCCGCCAGGCAGAGCGACTCCAGACCCTGAGGGCGTACAGACATTGAGCCTGCCAGCGCAAGGAGGGCAGGCATCTGAGGGCGATGCGCTGCCCGAGCCGGGCGTCATGATTCTTCATCCCCAGAGGTCTCGACCCGTTCCCTGGAACGGGCATTAGATCCTGATTCGTTTTTTGTCGGGGCCCTGCGAGAGCTCCGAGAGGCCGGAAATGAAACAAAACGTTCCGCCGCGGTCTCTTCACGTCGCGAGGGGGTTTGGGAGCAGCGGTGGTGCCGTGAGGCCTCGGCCAGCAGGGGGCGCCCGTGCGGCATTGGCTTGAGGTTGGCACGCCCGCAATGGGTGTGGGAAAAAAGGGCACGATGCCCAACAGCAGAAGCTGCCCCAAACCGACAGCGGCCGCTGGCGAGCAGCGACACGCCTCAGGTGCACAACGCCCGCGGCGACGCAGGCAGCGAATACGGTTCAAGATGGGCAGGAACTGGTGTTGGTCTTCGCCCCCATTCTTTCCGTACCCATTTCGCTCGTGCCG